AAGTCTCTCGTACAGGTGATCATGAACCGTCAAGGTCAAATGTTTCAAGCTTTTCCAACACTTGCGGCAATGACATAAACTCAACTCCCAAAAATGTCAGCACCGCGTTCAAAGCCGTTCTGAAATCACTCCGGAAAACCTTAGGGATGGAGGCTACTCAGTCCCCCTTCCCCCATTGAAGGGCGAGGGAAAACGTCATCCCTCTGAAGTGCATTGCTTTCGCCGTGCTGCTTTTGCGGACCAGACCATCCAAGAAGAAGGTAGACCAGACTCTAATCTTTATTAACAGATCGGAACTTTTGAAGACCTTACAATCTAAGCGCTAATGGCCCACATCTTACAGATTTGGAATGCCTTCCTAACGAGAGACATTTCTAGCGCGTACTCGTGGATATTCACCAGCGCCATCTGATGGAGCTTTCCGAATTTTGCTCAACGCCATCTTCTGTATTGTTGTGGCATATTTAGCTGTTAATATAAGAGATATCAGTCCTGAGTGGTCTATGAAGCGGTAATCTGACCATCATAGCCTGATTTGGCCTGTGAAAGGTTATATTTGCCATTGTTCAGTGACATTTATTTTGCACCGTTTGACAATGCAATTCCAATGTCGTTTTATCTGCAGGTATAGCTTGCTGATTTTTCAAGAATCTCTTAAGTCCCGTGTTCAGATTGAAGGTGAGGGCGACCGCACGGCTCAGCGCTAAGAAGAGTAGCCGAGAAAACTGCTTTGGAATGCACTTCGTGGGACAAGCAACGTTATTTGTCACTTTTGGGCAAAATGTTACTAACATTACCATAAAAAAGTGGTATAGATCATGAACCGCCGACGCATACAGCTTCAAATTTGCAAATTTGCAATTTTCAAATAGGTGAGAGCATTGTGTAGACGTCGGCATAACAAATGGGCATCGTGTTCATAACCGTTCAGAAACCATTCCAGATCAAATAGGAGGCTTCTGAGTCCTCTCGAGCGGTGTGGGTCGATGCCACCACCTATTTGGGTGCCCACGTGCTATAGCTGCCCTGAGCATCGTCTATGTCCCGCTCAGTCTGGCGGTGTTATGGGCCGCGCTGTCGACCTGCCCAGCGTGGCGCACTCCGGCCCCTTCGCCGGTCCCAGGCGCCGCGCCCTCCTAACGCGACCCGACGGCGCGTCTCAACGCCGACGAGTGCGGCGCACACGAGACGGCGACAGGCGCGCGGCCATTGTCGCCGGCGCGGCGCTAACCGGCCGCCTGTCGCCTTTGTTCGCGACCGCGCGCCGCCGCCAGAGCCGCCGCCATTTAATGCTGCCGAGACCGGACCATTAGCGGCCGGCCAGACGGCATCGCGCTTTGATTTAAGGCCGCCCGACGTCAGCGACGTCGGCGAACGACGGGGCCGGGCGGACCGCGTCCGTTGGCGTCTTTCATCGCGCGGTCTCGGGCGCGGTGGCCGTTGAGAGCCGGGCGCAGGGGGCTTTGGAAAGCTAACGGTGAGACATCGTTATGATTTTCGGGCAAAGAGTGTTTAACAGCTCTTTTTGAAAGGATACGAGTGAGGCTAATCTTTCCGGAACGATGTTACTATTCATGTCTCGGTCATTCGTTACGGGCTGGGCTCGTTGTGCTTAAGACAGGCGTCGTTAGGCAGAAATATGGCCCGACGAATAAAAAATTACACGGAATAATATTATTCTTAGCTGCCGCTTCGAGCTCGCTGTGTTATGCCAGGGGAACATTTTTTTGTACGCGGGGAGCAGATGTGCGGCTTCCGCATATTTCCAGAGCGTCAGCGGGTGTGCGGCAGAACGTCACGAACCAACCGGTGTGGGTTGCAGGGACCCGCGCCCACCATTCCACAGACGAGCCAAGCGTGCACGGAAAATGGACGCATTTTTCACGTGCTTTGCCGTGCTTGTCTGTAAATGGTTCCTGATGTGCTTAGCTGTGGCCGGTAGTTCGAGCTTCATCGATGCCGGAAACAAAGAATCACTCACCGTGGTTGCCTTCCCCGCGCACCATTGCCGTACCCGCCACATGTGCTCAGCCCACCCACACGTCTACGCAATGAGAAAAGCATGCTAGACCGATGTTTTCACGGCGAATACCGCATTGCACTTCATTGCACTTAACCATAAGAGCCACGGGCCGCATCCGCGTGTGCGGTATGTGACCGTGTGACCTTCGAGCGACACTTGATGGGCGCACGTACTTGATGGACGTTGATGCTCCGAATACCTTTCTATTTACCTCTATACATGGCATTACCGTGCATCTGTCTGTATAGGGACTATTGCACCATGTTCCCATTATCTTTCACCCAAGGACCTTTTACGCCGAGGCGCTTAATTAGCTGACTTGGGAGGCTACAACTTTCTCTGAGGAACACATGCTTCGCATTTTGTCTGAGCCTTAAGCTAACCATTTATGACTTCTGTCTACGCATTCGACATCGAAAGCCACCAAGCCTCTCATTTTATTTGCCGCGGTTGGTGACCAAATTTCCCCAAAAGTCAACAACATGTGTTACTCCCAGGTTTTAACTCCCAAGACAAATGAAAAACTGAAAAGGTCAGGTCCCACTCGCCCCAGGCTAGGTCTATTACTGACGCACGTCGACAAGGTCATTCCTGTTTATGGAATGCCACGCATGGTTTCAATCCCAATCTAATCTAATCCCTAATCCCAACGGCGTCGTTCCGATGTCGTTTGGTCGTTCCATATATCGCTATATATATTATATTATATATATCGTTTGGTCGTTCCATACCTATAACAAGTTCACCGATGAAATTATTGTTCGGTCTACCGTCATCGTGTGACGTGTTAGTATGTTCGCATCGTTTCACAACGCCGGTCCCGATTTGTTCAGGTGGTAGGGCACTGGAGTCGTGATCAAGAGCCCCTGGTTCGAATCCCAGCAATTCCAAGGATATAATTTGGGCTGTGGCGAGTACATGGCTGAAGGCCGAACATCATCCAATCCTTCTAAGGGCCTCTAAACGCCTGACGACGGCCGGAGAGTTAACTGGCCGAAACGTTGCATGCATGCTAACACACCGGACGAGGATGATAGCCTGGGCAATTAATCCATCTGTGACACTGAAATCTCGTCTCAACCCTTCCGTAAAACTCCACTCGGAGATGTCGCTACCTGACTGGGAGTCCGCTGACTGATCCTGCCCCGAAGGACGGTCTGACGGCGATGACGGCCGCGCTGATGGCCCGTCCGTCAGGTCTCCTTCCGACCCTCTGACCGGCCACCGGCCAGGCGGCGACGGCCGCGCTGACGTCACGTCTCCGTCACGTCTCCTTCCGACCCTCTGACAGTCCACCCCCCCCCCCCCCCCCCTCTAACACCAGCGATCCGAGTCGGCAGACCCTTCTCCCAAGGTTTGCCGTACCTCAGTGCCTGAGCGCATGGCATGACTAAATGATACATGGCACGGGCATGCATGCACGAGCGGTTGGGTGCTACAGAACACTGGGGGTGCATTAATCACCATCGACCGCGTCTGGTTCAACAGCCGCATCCTGAGTAATAGCCGGCGTTGTAATTCAATTAAAAAGGACTTGGCGCCAACGATTTTTTTGTATTCTTCTGGAGCTCTTCTCTGCGCCTACAGCGATCATTTGGTGCTGCTCCGAGTCTGGCCTGGCACTGGATGTCGCCGATCTCCCTCAGCCGCCGCGCGGTCCCCCGGCCTGAGGTCGTCAGTGGAGCTCTTCTCTACGCCTACAGTCATCATTTGGTGCTGCTCCGAGTCTGGGCCTGGCACCGGATGTCGCCGATCTCCCTCAGCCGCCGCGCGGTCTCCCGGCCTGAGGTCGTCAGTGACCCCCAGCGGACCTGCCTCCTCACCGGTGGCCCCACCGTCAATCCATCAGAAACCGGAGCCCGCCGCCGCCGGGCGTGGCAGCTCCCGGGCGAGGGGACTCCGACATCAAAGCCGTACGACAGCGGCAAAGTCCGGGCCGTGTCGCGGAAGGGCTGCGCAGTGCTCCACGAGTCTGCTGGGGTCTTACGGCGTGAGGGTTGCATGGCAGCTGCATTGAGTGGGATGCTGGTATTTTCAGGGCAGAAGTAAGCAGCAAAACTTGCCGCCTGCCACTGAGCAGTGTCACCAACACAACAAATCAGCTGCAAATTACAGGTATGACGTCTGAACAGTTACGGAAATCCCGGGAAAAGATCTGGTGTGTCTGCGGCTTGTGGAGCGGTCATTTGGTCAGCCGTTCCGACTGCTCATCCCTTGGCAACCGCGGGCACGGAGACACCCTTTAGGTCCGTGATGGGAAAAGGTCTTCAATACAGTGTCTTCGACCAGCCCATGCTTATGACCAGACTTCTCTTAATAAAGCCACCGTATGGCGCCAGGTGCTGGGCGTTAACCATAGAGCGCGGGGTGTCGGACGTGGTCAAGAACGATGCGGACCATGTTCCCTGTTCATTATTATTAGTATTCTCTTCATCAGCGCAGGTTTGTACAATAAATCATAGATCATTCACATACGCACTCACACATTGATCGTCGCTGTGCATAGCACATCTCAGTAAGCTTCAGTGATCGTCACGCACAAAAATCAACAAAACTACGCATCACAACAGCGGGATAATTCAGACAAAGACGAAGAAAACAAGACGAGGCATCGCTAAGAAACTCGTCACGCCGCCTCAGGCATATCGAGTATTTCGTAGGATGCTGAGCAGTTCATATGGCCGGACACGGCTGCATGAGAGTGCGCCCGCAGTGACGCCGCGCGCGTGACGGGTGCAGTGACGCCGCGCCGGGGGTCTCGGGAGGACCTCCCAGAGCGCCGCGCCCCAGCGGGACCTCTCACCGCGGCCGAGCCGTCCCAGGTCGCGACAATCACAGCTGACCGGCGGAGCGATGAGGCGATGGCTTCGCACGAGATGAACAGTCAAACGGCGCGACACGGTTCGGTTGTTTGGCACGGACGAAACACGGCGGCGCCGGCGCCGGCCGCCCCCCCCCCCCCCTTCCCATCCCCGCCTTCCCCCGCGACCGGGGCCTATACCGGCGGCTTGCAGTCGTCGGTGGCCGCGCCGTTCGAGAGCGACGCCGGCGAGTTGACGCTGTGTCCCTCACTCTGCGACTCGGAGTCGCTGCCAGAGCCGCGCTTGCCGCCGCCCTCGGCGTGCGTCTTGGAGTGCTTGGCTAGGTGGTCGGAGCGCATGAAGCGCTTGTTGCAGATGGGGCAGGCGAAGCGCTTCTCGCCCGTGTGCGTGCGCAGGTGGCGCTGCAGCTCGTCCGAGCGCGTGAACCGCTTACCGCAGAAGAGCCAGTTGCAGACGAACGGCCGCTCGCCGGTGTGCCAGCGCAGGTGGGCCTTGAGGTGCGACGTCTTGTTGTAGACCTTGCCGCATCCGGGGATGTGGCACGAGTGCACGCTCTTCTTGCGCAGCTGGAGCGCGGCGGCCGGGCCGAGCCGCTCGGCCTCGGCGCAGTTGGGACAGTCGCAGGTGGCGCGGCCCGTGTAGCGCCGCTGCGAGCGCGCGCTGCCCACCGCGCTCAGGCCGAACGGCGAGCCCACCGACCCAGCCATCGCCTGGCCGGGCAGCATCGACTTGTACGAGTCGGACAGCAGGTGCTGGCCGGAGGAGAGCAGGTGCGCGTTGGAGCCGAGCCCCAGCGACGAGTAGTCGGACGTGACCGGGTACGACATCTGCGGCATGCCCGACATGCCGCCCATGCCGGCCGCCGCCGCGTTCGACATCTCGAGCCAATTGGCCTGCGCCGCCGCCGCCTGCTGGTGCATGTCCCACCACGAGTTGGCCGCCATCTCGGGCTTGACGCCGCCGCCGGCCGCCGCGGCGAACGCCCACTGGTCGTAGCCGGGCACGCGGCCGTACACGGGGAAGTGGTGCGCGCCGGCGCCGTCCGCCTTCAGGCTCGGCTCGGCCGCGGCCGGCGCGCAGAAGTACTCGCCGCCGGCGTAGCAGGACAGGCCGCCGCCGGACGCGGCCGGCGCCGAGCGCGTGTAGCTCAGCGCGCCGCTGGCCAGCGCGCCGCTGGCCGCGTTCTGCCGCGCCGGCGCCACGCTGGCCGCCGGCGCCGCCCCGCTCTTGCGCCAGGGCGTGAAGCCCTTGCCGACGGCGGCGTCAGCGAGCGGCGGCGGCGAGCGGCTCGTCAGCTTGTTGCACTGCGCGGCCAGCATCGCCAGCGGCGTGCCGCGCAGCGACGGGTGGTCCTGGAGCGGAGGAGCGGCCGGTTAGCGGGGTCGGGTGGCGGCTGGAACGTCGCGGGCACTGTACAGCTCAGAGGGCGAGAAGGAGAGCAGAAATCTGCGGTCTGGTAGCAGCGCATCCTAACGGTAATGGGGCGACTGACGCGACACCACGTAACCACAATCTCCCGTCATTAAGTGCGCCACGTGCGTACCTGCTTGTCAGCTGAGCATCTGCACCTGTGTTTATAACGGCGCGGGCATGTACCTAAAATGTGTAACCGACGTCGTAGCATGGAAGAGCGACGGAAAGCTGGAGCAATGAGGGGCCATAGGCTCGTCTGGGATCACGATAAGCTCAGCCGTAGCTCGCATACCAGAGTCATCCGGTTAATGAAGCAAGTGTTAACCGATATTAACTACCGATAACTGAACGATAGGAACGCTCGCCGACCAATGCATATCAATATGCTTGGGTGGGGCGGAAGTCGTTCTGCGACGTGGGAGGCGCAATCGACAATGACGGCGGTGCTGGAGAGCATAGTTTCTGGTGAGGAGGTAATTGAATGGTCCCTGATTTGCTGACCTTGGCCGAAACTGGATACCTTTGAGGGTGCAAGGAGTTTAGCGATTGGTCGAGACGGGCAGGGAAGTACATTAGGACCATGACGCTGATTAGGTCCCCACAGACTGACGCCCCCCTCCCCCCCCCCCCCCCCTCCCCCAGACACGGCCGAACCACCGGCTGCGCCGCCAAACCCCTGTTCCAACCACACCAGTACCGCCCTGTTCTGGCCGTCGGGGCGATAAACACCCCCCGGGAGCCCCCGGTGTGCCACGCTTCGTACCCTTCCCGACCACCCACCCGGACCGCTGGGCGAGGACTGCAGCGGCGGCGACCCGCGCGGTCCCACGTGCCCCGCCGCTCGCCCCCGCACAGCCCGCCGAGAGCCGGCGCTGAGCGGAACGGCCGCGGGCCGCGCCACTCGCGGAATGTCGATTACTCACCAGAAGCCGGCGCCGGTCAGCGTCCCGCTGCGCGGGCGGGCATCGGAAATCATTAGCGGACCCCGGCGCCGCCGACGGCCGCGTCGCCGCCCGACGGATTTATCGAGAGGTCGGCCGACTTTTATGGAGAGGGGTTGACGACGCAGCCGGGCATGCCGGCCCTGTCGACGGCCGCCGCTCGGTGCGACTTCAAAGGCCGCAGCACGGCGGCGGGCGCTGTCCACAGGGCGCGGCGGGTGGCATGTGTGCCGCGGCGTCTGGCCAAAGCGCGCCGCTTGATTGAAATACCCTCGGACAGGCGAGTGCTTCACGACACGGCAGCGGTGCTAGATTGCCGAACAGCTGCCGCTGGTGCATGAGCTGACTGGAATCTTGTCGTTAATAAGGTTTAGGCGCGGCTGTAAGTAACGCGCTGGCCCTCGGCAGGACGTTCACGTGCTCGTGAGCACATGGAAAGTTGGCTGCTTTCTCAAAGCAAGAACCTTCTCGCTTCGATGGTACGGAGGATATACATAGGGTAACTCCACTGAAGTCGTTCATTCATCTAATGAACTTTGATCCTCATCGGACTAAATGAACTCCATGAGCATTGCTGATTTGGTTTACCATAATACCCCGAGGGGTGCTTGTTGAAGTCCCACCAGTGGCGTATGACCACCACTAAACGGCTGCTTTCTGGGACGCTTGGTGCCAACGCCGCCGTCCGACATCGCTACCTAGCCAAGGGCCATCAGGTCATCGGACCACTCAGCCCCTCACGCGATAACATCACATAACGTGACAGAGCAGATGTTTGACCTCGCCGCGGCGGAAATTGGGATGCATGTTCGGACCGCGGGTCTCCACCGCCGCATGACAGGAACACATGTCTGACGCACCGGAGCTGTGCTCTGACACGGCCGGCTGACGCGGGGCTCATGTTCGAGGTGGCGCTTCTCTCGCCGTCATTAGGGCGGACCTACTCCTGGTGTCCCCTCTCGCGAGGTGATGGAACGCTACGCCCGTTCGACGCGTCACCACGCGTCACCAACCGCGCGGCACCCTGCAGCTGCGGTACCTCGCTCGCCGGGCCTCGGCAATCGTCAGTGTTCTCATTCATGCCACAAGGCAATCGACACCCTTGCCTGGAAGAGCCCCGCTCTCACGAGAGGTCTTGCTGCTGCACAGCTGCGGTACTCGACTCACATAACGCCGTCACGAACGACGCCCTGCCGCATTTAACTGCTCTCGCTCGCCTATCTGATCTGCAGCGCCTCTCCGTTTCACAAACATGGTACAAAGCCGGACATACCTCCCGTCGGTGGGAGTGCCCCCCCCCCCCCCTCCCCTCACCAGCGAACCTCCGATTGTACCTGCAGCGTTCTTTACACACCTGACACAATGCGGGACACGCTTCTGTCGGTAAGTGCCGCCTATCTCCTCACGACTGAGCTTCCTGTAGCCCGGCCATTCCCCGCACACGCACGCCATACCAGGGCGCACACAGGGCTCGGTAAGTGGCCGCCGTTCTCACGAGAGAGCCCTCCAAATGCGCCCATGAGAGCACCTGTTGGCCGCCGCGGCGGCGCGGCCCTATCAGAGAGCGGCCGCCTATGTCGCGACTGACAGGCCCACAAAGCCCAGGTTAATGAGGTCTGTAAACAACGCTGCGGCCAATTCCTCCGACGCCGCCGCGATCTCGCAGATGAAATATCGTCGCCGCGCGCTGGAGCGAGGCGGGAGCGCGCGCCGTCCACAGGCTGTTGGTATTCGGCGCAGACCCGCGCGCCGCGCGGCTGGCCGGTCACTCCTCAGCGGATAATAGCCGGGTAGGAGCGCCGGGACGCCGCCCCAGGCGTCGGCGGCACGGCCGCGGTGCGCTCCTCAAAGACCGCCGGAACGTGCCGCCCGGCGGGGGGGGGGGCGGCCGTGGAGTGAGGGGTGTCCACTGCGGAGTGAGGGATGCTCACCATAGAAACAGAGGTGCCCGATCGTGGGACGAGGAAGACCCGACTATAGGGTGGAACACCTGCCCGCGCAGCGAGCGATGCCGGCACCGTTGCGTCAAAACGCCCAACTTTGGAGTGCTGGACACGGTCGTAGCGGGGCCATTTACTCGGGAATTCACAGTCAAGAACGAGGCGCGCCAACAACGGAGTGTGGAATGTCCTGCCGTTGCCCGGGAAGCGCCGGATCGTGAGGCGAGAGGTGCCCTGTCAAAGATCGGTGAGTGCCTGACCGCAGGGCGCGGTGTGTACAGCTCCCGGCCGAGGAGATCCGGAGTGGCGCGTTCCCCGCCCTGGAGCGGGAGATGTGCGGCCGTTCCGGCACTAAGCAGGGCGCTGCCGGGTCTGTCCGGCGTCCGGGACAGGGGGGGGGGGGGGGGGGGAGCGGCGCCAGGCGGCTGCGGCGCCTCACAAGCGGGCCGGGCCGGCAGGCGGCGATCGAAATTACCGGCTGGCATAATTAGCTGAACAAATACCGTCTGCAGCCTTGGAGCGGCATGGCGCGCCCGGCGGCGCCGGCGCGCGGCGGCGGACGGACGAGAGGGCTCGGACGGAGACACGGGGGAGAGGGGCAGGAGGGGGGGGGGGGGGGGCGACTCCGACGGGACGACTGGTGGCAGGTAAGCTTAGACAAAGCCGCGTTGAGGAAATCAGGTTGGATCTGCGTGTAGTTGAGACACGGGGAGGCACGACAGTGGAGTGCTTCCTCAGGTAAATCACAAGGTCACGAGCACTGCTGAACTGAGCCGGCATTAGGGATTCCGCAGTGCTGACAAAGTGTTATGGAGCCTGGCGAACGATGTGCTGAAATGCCCTCCATAGCAAATTCACCAAAATTAATTGGGAGATTAGCAATTACCTTTAATGATAATAAGCCAATTATTATCACAAGTCAGCTATTGCTAAGTTATTCATCTAAATCGCTTGCCGCCTGCAGGCATCTTCAGTACTAAATGTATCGGCATATGTTCTCATCAGGAGCCCCCCAGTCCCCCCCCGCACACACACGACCCCAAAATGTGAGCCAGACCGCGAGATTGACAGCGAGACCTCTTATCCTTAGACATTGAACTTCTAAGTAATCCAGTTGGTCGGGGAAAGATAAACGAATCACGAAAAACTACGCCATTTTCAAGCTGAAAGAAATAGAACATTCAAAATCCGAGGAGCAACCAGAATTTGGGGGTAACCGATGTTGGCTGACACAGGGCAGGGCATCCAACTCGTGTCGTAAAACTACACCACCGAGAAGCACGCAAGCAGAAAAGCAAAAAAATAGAAGAGCAAGGGTGTCATCTGGCAAGCGATTGAAGGCCTTCTAAAAGCGAGAGAGCACAGAACAATGCGAACTTTATACAGCAGAATCTATCGCCAATAACTGTCCTGCATTCCTTCGGGAACGGGCCCAACAAGCCGCTACTTTGCCATTTAGTTTTCGTGGGTATAACTCGGTGGCTCACTTGGCAAACATTTCAGCCCCGTGCTTTTTGTAATGCTGTGCTCGGCAATATCTTGTTTTTGTCGTGACAAGTTCACAGCCTTTTACAGTGGGCCACCAGAGGTAATGTAGCTGCTTGCAAGTGTTCAAATGGACGACATCTACCAAAGTCCGAAAATGGTACGGAATGGAAAATGACAAGTGGGTGACGCTAAAAGAAGCTGTGATTCGAGACGCTCGGG